CACCATCCTACGTCGCACCGCTCAGCTACCAGCGCTGCCTCATCAGGGGACCCACACACCGAACCCGAGATCTCTGGCACCAGTCTCCCCCTCCCTGGACTACTCCCTGGGCCTGCGGCGCACTCAGCTGTTCAGGTCCCCAGAGTGACTACCAGAAACAATCTATACCATACCTGCTGCTTGTTCTTAAACTCTCTCTCTGTTCTTATTTAGCGAGCAACGCCTCTCATTCACCCTGGGAGACAGTAGTCCAGTCAACTCAGTGTGCCCAGCTGCCCCAAGATCAGCGGACGAGACCAGCTCTGTTTTGTTTGTTTTCGTGGAGCATTAAATATGTTTTTCTTTTCTAGCCTGGGTTCGAATCTGCATATTTACTGGGTCCTAAACAACTCACACACAGCTCGCTGTAACACCTGCTCTATTGTACTTACAGGACCAGGAGGACCAGGAGCGCCAACATCCCCCTGAAAATACAACAGAAACATAAAATCAGTCACTACATATCAGTGCCTGATAGACAGAGAGACAAACAGTGAAAATCTGGTACAAAATGAAAAGAAAAAAAGAAAAAAACAGAGCTTAAAAATGCACCTGAGAAACTACTTCTGAAAGCAAGTTGCCACAGGTGACCTCGAACAGCTACATCAATAAGTTCTGGAGCAACAATAAAGGAGGCAATAACATGAGCATACTTCAGAGAAAATAACTCAAGTGATGTGAAAAGAGCCATGAGATGGGTGGAAAAAACCCCACAAAGAATGCTCGGTGGAAAGTGCACCGCAATGATGTGCATTTCACGTGCATCATGTAGAGTGTAGCTATAGTTATTGCATGTGTATATACAGTACATACACCATGTGTAACCCTTTGTAATGGGGAATCTTAGAGGTTTCTGTGATGCATTGTTTTTGCAATCCTCAGTTTGCCAATTCATAATTTACAACCATAACATTCATATGTTAATACAGTTAAACAGGAAAACAGTGCAACATCTGTGTGCTTTCAGCACTATGACCAACTAAAAGGCATGCACCTCTTGATGTGTTGTTTTAATAATAGAAAATATTTACAAATTTTTCATCTCCATTGGGATCAGTATCAAAATACACACAGTGATCAGGCTGGATTTTGGAAATCAACTACATCCTGGGAACACAAGGGTTTAATTATACAAATTGCATAGTTCCTCTATAATATAGTTGACTTTTTTCTTATGTTACTTGTTTCAACATTGTTGGTTACCTTACTGCCATCAGGGTGCTATTTAAAAATAAAAAATATTTCATGTACAAACTAATAGCACAATTATGTTTTCCAGTTATTTTTTCAGACATACTAGTAGCATAGCTGTCTCCTTGATGGACTGACATGAAATGTGGAACAGACATTTATGGTTCCCAGAGAATGACCCCTATTGACTTTGGTAATTGACTTTTTCTCTAGTGTTATAGCCCCATGAGGGTGGCATGGCTGAGTTTTGAACTATCCCAATGACTATTCAATGGATTATCATGAACTTTAGTACACACATCCGTGGTTCCCAGTTCTGATCACTTTGATGGTCCTCTGACTTTCACTCTTGTGCCACCAATAGGTCAAAGCTTTCACTTAACTAGTAAGTGACTTTAGTTTCTCAGCATCTACTCGATTGATTGGCACAAAATGTTATGCAAACATTTCTGGGATGAATCCCACTGACTTTGGTGACTTGTCCTCTAGAGCCACTGCAAGGCTGACATTTTTGGCTATTGATATGCCTTGACAAATACTGGCTGGATTGCCATAAAAATCTGTAAAACATCAGGACCTCTGTGGGGATAATAAGTAAAATGTCTTGAAGGAAGGACTGAAATGAAAGCACAGCCTCATAGAGCTTCTATGGCATGGCTGTAGATTCCTCATCTTGTTTTGAGAACTGTGATCCACTGAACTCTATACAATTTGAAGCTAGTTTCATCTGTCATCTTTTTGCTTGTTTGTTGTCTACTCATTTTGGTGATGGTTTGACAAAATCCATAATATATGTGTGTGTGTGCTAAGTGAATCTGTGAAAATGGTGCGTTAGGCTTCAAACTGTTCAGAAGCCAGAAGTGCATTGTAAATGATCGTACTGTGGCACAGTCAGCTGGAAACAATACATACTTCTTTGACACAGGCCCAACTTTCCTAAAGAATTTGCTGAATTCATTTTGTGCAGAAACAGAAATGGAGGTATTTATTGTAAATACAAAACACGGTGGCAAAGCTGAAAACCTTAGGCTTTGTTTTGTGTTTAAAGCAAGGGAACTTCCACTTGGACAAAATTATATGAACATGTGTAGCAACAAAAAGACGCTGGCACAGAAATACAGACACAAACTGTCAACAGCAAGAAAATGACTGAAATACAGTATGTTTATAGGAGCAAAGGACACAAACTATATCAACTGTAAAAACCAAGAAATAATCTCCTGCAGATTCATTATTTGGTGATTGATGATAACTAACTAAATCTTGTATAAATATCTTACAAGTTAAATGAGCTATGTTACCTCCAGCACCTCTTTCTCTGCTGCCTTCCCCTCACGCACACACATGCTAAGCCTCAGTCTCAGTGAGCACAAACAGAGGGAATCATCAAGTATGACACTCGACATTGATGCGACTTACTTTTTGTCCTTTCGTCCCACTGGCCCCCTCGGCACCTGGCTGACCCTGTGGGAGGAGGCCTTGGTTAATGACTCTGCAACACAACGGCATTGTAAATGTTACAGCAGAAAAATACGTACAGGGTCCCCTCTCTCTCCTTTCTCCCCCTTTTCTGCTGGGCCTCCAGACTCGCCCTTCTCCCTCTGTATGTGAGCAGAGCAGATCACTAACAGTGACTGACAGCAAAGACAGGGTAAAAACACAGAAAGCTCAGGGAGTGAGGGCAGTTTTTAGAAAAAAATCAGAAAAAGATACAGTACTGAAGCATCTCAAATTCAAAATAGTTTGTAATTACGGTAGAAACACATTGAGACTCAGGACCTTATGAAACTATGGCATTAGGTGAGTCTGGCAGGATAAGGAAAAACTGAAGCTCCTGTTGCATTGCAGCACATTTTCCACATTTCCATGTTACAACCGTACCTCTGTCTGCCAACAGATGGCACTTTATGACTGCAGGTGAGGCACCCTTTAATAGGATTTCTTCCTGTCAGCTCCAGTATATGGAGAATACTCTGACACAACTATACACAACTGTAAAATAAATGTACTTGCGTCTTTGCAGCTCGGTTTTTACTGTATATGCAGGAGACTCACTTTCTTGAAGCCTCAGCATAAGACTGAGACATCATACTGTACTGTACTGTTTGTATTTCTCAACTTCCTATGACCCTTTATGCTCATATTTTTACTTCAACAAAAGCTCTTGGGTTATGCACATTTTGTATATTACCAGCCATTCATTAAAGTAGGATAAGGGTTCCCATTAAGCACACTAAAATCTAATTGATCTCTCATTTGAAAATACATTGATTAGCCGATAAATATAGTAAAATTTAAAATAAAGATATTTCACAAACAAATGAAAAAGTCTGTCATGGTCTTAATTGGTATCATGGTACATTTAAGCCTGTGTGCGTTTCAAATAAGACCACGTTATGATTTACTGATAAACCATAAACATGCATTGCTTTTAAATAACAGCAACCGATTTATTCAGTAACAACTTAAGACTTAATTTGGTGGTAGAAAAGTGACAAATAACAGAAATGCATTGTTGCACCACTCCTGACACATTTATTGAAGCTCACCTGTTGTGATATTTTATTTTTTCAACACATAACAAAGAACAAAAAATAGGTCGTTCATCAAAGATTATTGGTGTTTTGTGGGACGTGTGAAGATTTGTAGAGAATGCTTTTGATGCTCTTTGCTGAGACTTTATGAAGCATCTGTTAAGCAATCTGACAATACAAAGAGACATCTGAGAAAGGCTGCAGCATATTTGCACACTCCTTAGCGACACCTCGACCTTAACAGACAGTAATTGCCAGTCAGTTTCAGCCCCTCCCCTATTCCTTCGATTTGCTAACAGCAGCCGCTGTGTTACCGTTCATTTAATGAGATAAAGTCACTGTTTCCTTGTCCAAATTGTGTGCTCTTATTAAGTCAATCGACTGCTGCCATGTGTGAACAGATGGGTTGTCTTACTAATATTCTAGACGGGGAAGAGGGAATAGTAGCAAAATTGAATTTGAGCACTCACAGAATTCTGTACAGTTTATCAACCACATGGGGACTCGTGATTTTAGCAGTATAACAGAAAATCAACTATATACAGTACCTGTTGTTGTATTATCACTCAGATGTCTTTTATCTCACAAAAAACATCACTTACACATTACAACATGACAGTGAACAGGGCTACTGTACACAGCAAAGGTCTTCCCATTGCTGAGGCAGCTTGCACTAAGTTATGAACGACATTCATTGTAGATCACATGTGATGGAAAGTTAGCATTAGCCTGGGATGTCACATGTACAAATGTCATGCACTGTATATTGGCATAGGCTCGTGGAAAAATATTTCAGTGGTTATCTTTGTTAGAGCTGCATGGCAGGTCATTCAAAGTCAATTTATTGGCAGAGGGGTATGAAACACGTTCCTAAACCTTTCAAATGAGATTAACTGCAGCGCAGATGGTATTTATCCAGACTATCACTGTATTTACACAATGGGAGATCCCGGTGGATATGGGATGGGGAACTGGTCCACCTGTGGATGTCTGCAGGTAATATTTCAGCTTAGAGACACCTTGAGTCATCAAACTGCAATTACGCTTATCTGCATCCCTCTCTGTCTATCCATCAATATCTGCAGTGTTCTGTCAGCGCCCGTTTTAGGCTGTCAGTGGGAGATGCAGTTATGGAGATGTGATTCATGAGAACACTGTCTTCCCGGCAAATCATTCATTGCACAGATCAGGCTGCCGGGGCTCAAATCACTGTTTAACTTGCTGTTTTGTCCAAGCTAAAAAATGCACAAGGAATGCCACTGAGAATCCCTGACTGTTGTTCAATTATTACTGCCCATGCTAAGTGGAACTTTCAATTCCTCTTGGAGTTGTGATGATTTACTGTAGCTGCACTCACTTTTCATGTCAGATTGTGTAAATTCTTTAAAATGCATGACTATGCTTGTTTCATTACAGCAGATTAAAAAATGAAGTGATTCTCTGGGACAAGACAGCAAGAATGAATTTAAAATGACAAAGCAAAGTTGTATCTGTAATGTAGGGGCATGACTGATTCATAACAAGAGCAAGGCTGGCATGCACATTTAATGTAAGCATTAGAGCACTGAAACAGTGTTCTTAGCACTTTATCTCTCAGCTAACATGAGCATGAGTCAAGTTTCTGAACTACATGATGCTGAAACAAGTGCTTTAATCATACGTTTTAACAACGTTAAGGAACAGTGAATTGTAGTACATGTAATTAAACAAGTAGTTTAACTACATTTTGCTCTAGCTTGCTCGTAGTTAAACTACATAGTGATTCAAGTAGTTCAATTACTTCTTTTTTGTCATTTTGTGTAGTAAAACACTAATACTACAATCAATTTTGGGCCATAAAAGGAAAAGAATGATTTTTTTAGTTTTATAATACCAAGCTGCACGTGAGCTGCTCTCCAGTGTTGACAAGGACATTTTCAGTGCCAGACGGAGCTGCCTGTTGGATATGGACACTGAGAGACTGCTCATGTGTTGTATAAACAAGAGAGTTTGCTCTGACAAGTAAAAAAGATAGGCCCATTATTTAGACCAGTGTTCAAGCTGTTCATTCTGTCCAAAAAGGTGAAAGGTCAGATGTAACAAAACTGACAAGACAACGGGCTGGAGGACATGGGCTTGACCTGAGAAACACGGAACGTGGGATGCACCCTCAGAGAGCAGGGCAGACGTAACCTCACTGCAGAGGGATTAATGATCTTTTCAATGACAAAAGGTCCCAAGAACCTGGGGGCTAGGTTCCTGGACACTCCTTTCAATGGGATGTATTTCTTCGACAACCACACCTTCCGCCCGAGACGGCAGGCGGGAGCAGGTCACCGTCGGCAGTCGACAATAAGCCAGTTCTGGTCCCGTTCCTGTGATTGAAAAAGGGGGAGGCTGATAGCATAGGGACGCCTGAAATGGTGATCGGGCTGTGGCCGAGCTCACCAGGGTGTTATGTGCATATTCCACTCAGGGCAAGTGGTCACTCCAGGAAGCTGGATCAGCAGCCAGCACGCACCACAAGGCCGCCTCTAGGTCCTGATTAAGTCTTTCCATCTGACCATTAGTTTGACCATAATATTCATTGCAATGTTGTTCTGGTGAAAAGCCCAGATGGGATTGTTTCGTTTAAGGCAGGTTTAGGTCTCAGGTAATAAACTCACCTAAGTGGCATTTTTTCCTGGCATGTGACTCTTTTTGTATCATAGTTTGTTATCATTTTGTGTCACATGTACATTGTGAATGTGGCCTTTTTTTTTTTTACAAAATAATTTGAACTTCTTAGCTTTACTTAACCAAACTTTCTTGAGTAGCTTTGCTGTAGTTTAACATCTTATAGTATGAAGTAATTGGTAGTTTACAAAGCTATGCTTTTAAAGTCCCTTCCCTAACAATGTTCTTTAATCACAATGCAACTAATAATCTTGACTGTTAGCTTTCTTCTCCTGCAGGTGTTACTCTGTCATCACTCTTTTATTTTCATGTCGTAAGTTACATTAAGTCTACAGGTGTGCTTGTTCAAACATGTGTAAACGTTTAGACACTATTATACTTTAATTATTTGTCACCATTATATGGAGTTAGCTTGTTTTCGTTGTGTTCAACTCTCATGACATTTATTTAACATAGGACATATGAAAGTGAAGTAAAAAGGGCACAATGTATTCTGATCTTACAATCTCAGAACTACTTTCCTTTCCTCTAAGTTTTGAGTTTTTGTCTGTTTATAGAGAGATAACAAAGCTACACGTCAACAGGCAATTACAGGAAGCTTAATCAAGGTAACCTCTGTTTGTCATTTCATTCTCAACCTTGACATACTAGGACATGGCAATATGGTCATTTTTCCTCCAAACAAAACCGCTATCCATCGACTGTATTGTATAGCTGTTGAAATCCCATTTGTTTTGGGGAATTATAAGTGTGTCCTCATACAGACAACCTTCCTTTTCAAGGTTGGCTGACACGTCTCCTTCCTCTGGGCAGAGGGAGCAGAAGGAATTCTGTGGCCTGATCTGAAACCCCAACAAATTACGCAACTATACATCAAATGAACAGCTGCGGTCAAGAGGTTGTCCACTACACAATAGCTTTCACTCCCGGCATGATCACAAAGGGGCCGCTGGAGGCTTGGTTGGTGGTGGTGGGTTTGTGAAGGAAGCAGGTAACAACAGAGAAAGTGGGAGGCCTAGTAGAGTCTGTTTTTTCTTTTTGTTTTTTTTACACCGCATATCTTATGTGCCTCTGGTGAGCTACAGCACCCCTGGGCTTCATGAAAATGATTGCGGACCCTTTTTGCAAAAGTACTGTACGTAATGGCCATCTGTCTGTTTGGAGTGTGAGTACTGAGTCACGCTGTGCTGCGCTGCGGGAGGTGCAGGGTGGGAACAGCTATTTAACTTGCACAGATAGGCAACAACTGACTGAAAGGTTCCATTTCCAATGAGGGAGATCTCTTGCATAAAGGCCAGTCAAGGACAGAGCAGGTTCTGCATCTGGTCACTAGTCTGGCTAGTTTGGGCTGGCGTCTTGGGACGAGGAGTTACATATGCAGCAGTTGAAATGAGCACAGGTAAGGGCTGATCTATCAAATAGAGAGACAGCTCACATCTACATTAAATGCCACATGTCAGTACTCATTTGGTGAGGAACAATGTTGTGATAGATACCTTGACACTTGCTCCATCCGAGGCTCCTGGGGGACCCTGCAATTACAAGCAAAGAAACATAATTTTTACAAAAACGAAAAAAAAAGTTTAAATGGGTTTCATGTCACAAAAAGATAATTATATACAGTAGTATGAACTCTGCATATATACTCATACTGTATATACACTCAGTCGGCATTTAATTAGGTACATCTACTATAACTAATGCAGTTGAATGCAACAGACCTGCAATAAATCTTCCCTTCATGTAAGTGATCATGTTTAGTTTGTGTTCAAACTGTTTGAGAGGAGCTGTTTCAGCTATATGATCATTTTGGAAGATTTAGTTTTTGTCCATTTTAGACTGGTGGAATTAAAACTGCATGTAGGTATATACTAAATGTAGGTATATACAGTACATATAATATTTATTTTTTCAGCAATTTTAACCATTTCCTAACCCTTATTAAACTGATATGTTTATATGTAGAGTGTAGTTAACCAAACTGAGCCCGAAGGGACTCGTCATTACCCGAGGGGTCAGGAAGGGTTTGGACAGAAATTTAGAAATTATGTTTGAGTTCCTGTTGGGTTTGGACATGTAGATCAAACTTTAGGCTAGGTGGCTGGAGCACTAAAACACTGTTTAATGATAAGGGCAAAAACACCATACAAACTCAACTGCATTGGGCTCGGCTTGGGTTCGGACATTATATACTATAAGCTTGTTGGGTCCAGGATGCCACCCTCTCAAGCATAGGTCGGTCTCAAACAAAAATATGCAACCTGATCCACGCTCTATTTACATGAAAAAGTATTTCTATTTACAGCTTAGGCCTGTTGTTTTATATTTTTCTAACCTTTGCACTAATGCTAGTTCTCATAAAGATGTGACTGGCCCCTAGCAGTCTATAGATTATCTATGAGTGTGTCTTTGTTGGGCGCCTTTCACTTACTCCCCTGTTGCTGTGCAATGCTAATTTGACTTTGAAAAACAACCGCTGCCCCTCAACTGCGAGCACTGTCCTGCTGCCAATGAACAAGAGAGAGTGATGCCCTGGTGTGTGTTTTGAATAGATGATTTTGCCCCTGAGATCTACCTCAGCAAAACAGGTGACTCATAAATGCCAATACCAGGGGATGGAGGCAAAGCTGGCACATGCTAAGGGTATCATCAGGACATTGCCATTTAGAAATGTCACACCATCTCCATCCTGTCTTTCTTTTCACCTACAACTTTGTGTCCCGCAACTTTATGAGTTATTGAAAAAAAACATGGGATACAGTGAGTCATGCGGGAGAGATTTAACAGTGAGTAGCTCAATTATACTAAAGATAATTGAACCTATCGAGCATAACGGTGATAGAAGCAAAACAAAATCTTTCTGGATTTTTGGATTAAATAAAGTAAAACAAATCCTATGTCCCGATCATGAGTGTAATCAGGCCAGTAGTGCATGAAAATAATTGGTCACCAAAAGCATCTGAACTACACGATGCCTAAACACTCCTGTTTGTTCAAACAACAGAGCAGTTAGAGGTCTGACAAGCTGTCTCCTTTAACACATCATATGGCTTGTGCCCTTAGTGTGTGGGTCACTACACGGACAGTGTCTGGCAGTGGTATGGATGCCTGAGTAAAAGACCATAATTCAAAAAGTCAACGGGCCTTATAAGCAGACTTGCAGTGGTACTGTAGAATGGGAAAAGATTTTGAATGGATCAATACAGACCAAGTATGGAATTAATGCACAAACTTCACCTATATGTTTCACTATGAAGAGAGTTGGATTTTATATGTCATGTCTGCTGTCCTGTTGCGTGTTTGCTTTAATAGGGTTTTATAATAATGATAACTTTGCATCTTTTGGAATGCATCTAAAATCTCAAGTCAAATAAACTGTCTGAGCTAAGTTTTTTTTTTTTTTTTTTTTACAAATGTTCCATAGGTGTCTGTTACTGTATGTCACTTACAGGTAGGCCTCTGGGTCCAGGCTCCCCACTTTTTCCTCTCCGTCCCTTCGGAGATCATAAAAAAAAAAAAAAAAAGAATTAAGATGAATGAGTGAAGTGCAACAGGTGTGGTTGGGCATGCATGCTGACAGCAATTAAGGTTAGACAGCAACTCCTGTTGCACTCTCTAATTTGTTTTTAATTAACCAGAAGAAAACAGCTTAATTGCTGCATCCCATGTGGCCCACAACTCTTTGTTCCCTCTTCTGGTTTACTGCCTCCTTTCCAGCTGTACAAGTCCCTTGTTGCATCAGTCAGCCCAAGAACTACATACAGCAGCAAACAGGCCAAGCCAGGCCACGCTGTCCAGCATTACACAACAAGATCAAACTGACATGACCAATTTGACCCATGTTTCTTTGAGGTTGATTTTTTTGGACATTTTGTGAATTAATCAATGTCTTAGTGCTTGGAGGTCTGTGAGTCTGAAAAAGCTGACATCTTAATGAAATGTAATGCTGTCTGAACCAAGCCCAAGTTGGTATAATTTACATCAAGAGGGTTTATGTCCTCAAGAGAAAAGAGGATAAAGCTTGGATATCCTTACAGCTATCCTATAAACTGGCAGAGCATCACTGGCTCTGTGTAATGAGGAGTGCCTGGAATTAACTCGCTTTGACACACACACACACACACACACACTCACACAAGACAGATGTAAAATCAACTCTGTTAGGAAGTGGTAATACTCTGGCCAATATTAATTCACTGTACAACAAAGTAATCGATAGCATATGTACAGTATGAGACAATGCAGTTATCTGTATTATGGCTAAATATGATTACATCTTTCTAATTGGAGTTCCATCATCTGACACAGTTGTTATACTGTAACACTTTATTTCTCTGCTACTGTATGTGTCATTATAGGTGACACACAAAACACTTTGCTCCATTAACATAGTGGCTGTGTAGATCTATGAAGAGGGAAGAATCACTGGTTGCTGTAAGAACAGCAGAGAATCACAAAGCAACGCCCCCGACTCTTCTCCCTGTCACTCCATATACACAAACTTTGATTAACTGGGTCAAATTTGACATGTACATTTGTCAACAACAAAGACAAACCAAGGAACTTAACTGCAAGCTTTTGCTTTTAGTCACTTGTTTGCATTTGTCTTCATGTGTATATATGCTATGTTTCTTTCTCTGTTTGTAGTCCACAGATTACAAGATTATGAAAACAGGAGAAGCCAAGGTGTAGTACAGTAAATATTAACCTTAATAGTAACACAGCAGAAGCAATCTGTGCCCCCTCCCAGGAACTGTGCGCTTCTCTCTGTTCACGCTGTTTGATGTGACAACACAGCCTTGGCCAGCTTCTTTTGATCATCTGTGTTAATGCATCTCTGAAGCTACGTGTGTTTTAATATGAGCATGAAAGAGT